TAGCTCAGGCGCGAGGGGCTCATTGTTGGAGTTGACCCAGGCGTCAAAGGACTCAGGCTCTAGCTCACCTCTATCTCTCAAGTACACCACATACTCGGCGTAACTGTGAGCCAGTGCCCAGACGCTATAATCCGCGTCCGAGTACAAGGCGGCCCAGGCGATCTTCATGCGGGCGTCATTATCAGCATCACTTTCAGCAACCAGGCGGTTTTGCTCCGCCTCCAGAGTTGCTGCAAAGTTTGTCTGAGCCTGAGCAGCCTCCTTCTTCAACCTCTCAACCTTGGTCTTCAGGTTGGTGTTCTCTTAAGAAACACCCTGAAGTGTGCCAAGGTCCGCCTGGGCTTTCTTGAGCGCCTCGTCAGCCTTCTTAGCGCTCTCATCCGCCTTTTTCTGGGCCTCCTCCGCCTTCTTCTGGGTCGTCTCAGCGTCGCTCACCTTCTGGTTGGCCGTTTTCAGATCCGCCTCCAGCTGCTGGATTTTTGACGCCTGTGTCATTATGATTGCTTTAGTTTCAAGATCATTTACAATAGTTGAGTATAAAGCAACATTATCAGCGTCTATGGCGGACTTCTTGGCCCTTTTTACCTCTTCCCGTTTGCGGGAATAAGGACGTTTGAGCCCGACTACTCGCAGCATAGCTTGCAAAAAAGCAAGTGGTATTAGTATTGTAGGCGGGGTAAAGCACTTGAAAAAATAAAATTGACAAGCCTCTTACCTCAGCCATAAGGGATAGAATGCGTTCCATATTGAACGTCTCTATCCTAGGGATGTTGTCTTTATCCCTCTTCCGGACGGCGTCAAGCATGGCCTTGGCGTGCTTCTGGACGTCTGGCCAACGGGAAGATTGATCTGCACCATAATTAATAGGTGATGAGAGCAAAATTAAGGCAGCACCAATCTGTTGCCGACCGTTTGAGGATGACGTCTGCTGGGAGTGGGATTTCACTCGCAAAGGCCACCCCAGCTTAGGCGGGGATTCAAAAGGGTTCTTACCTTCAGAGCCGGCCAAGCGGGAGCCGCTTGCAGGCGTGGTGAACCCCCCGACTGCTGATAAGGGGTTGACGAGGTCGAGGCACAGACTGCCACCTATCCTCTCGTTTCGCCCCCCTATCCGCATCTGTTGGTTCCCGGCTGAGGCGCCAGGAGTTGAGGCGAAGGTGGATTTTTTGGTTTTATTGAGAACGGAGGGGGTTTCCTCCCTAGCCCGTTTGAGATTTTTCTCAAACGTCTTTCCAACCTCTCCCCCCTGCGAAAATAACCAAGGTAAAGTTAGCATCAGGAGAAAATAACCTTTGAGACCAATCTAAGAAGGGGTCAGGCGTTTTTTACCTTGGCCTTGACTGCGGCCGCAGCTTTTTCTGCAAGCTCCTTGCGGATGACTGCAGAGGACCGCTTGGGAGTCTTCTCTGTCTGCAACATGTTTAAAGCTTCTTCTGTAAAAAAAGAAAGAGATTAGTCAATATCATAAATCAATTCTGACACAAAAGCACTACAGGCGGATGTAAACTCAGGCGCATACGTTTGGTAAACATGTGTCCTAGCCCGCAGGCGGCTAAGAAGCACTCGTCCCTGAACCAGGCGCTCTTGGGGATCCAGTTCTTGGGAACTTTTATTGTTTCCCCGGTTGACAAGGTCGCGCCTGTGAGGCCGAAAAAGTCTGCCTCTATGATTTTGTCAAAATCCTCATCCGGGATCCGAGGAAGAGCGCATTTCATGCCCATCAGGTCGGGCTTCTTATTGTACTGGCGGACTTCATAGTTTTCCCGCTTGCTGGGGGCTGACATCAAGTAGAACCTGTTCCGTCGAATTTTGAGACCTTGTCCAAGGTCATCATGTATTGGGGATGTGTGGTTAGAGTGTACCACGCCCTCCAACCGCCTGGGCTTCGGCTAAGATAATGCATCCTAGCAAAAGCTTCCCAGCCGGGTTGAATCCCCTGGAACTCGCAGGCGGCAACATACCCCAAAATGTTTGCCCAAGAGTTGGGGGTAAGTTTCCAGACTCCGAGGCCTTAGCCTCTCAAGATTGCCTTCACCGCCTAGTGAAGGGGAAAGCGAAGACCGGCCTTGAACGCCGCCTCATAACAGCCAAGGTAGTTGTTGGCGTTCTGTTGATCGTCTTCCCAGGCGATGGTGCCGTCCTCAGGCGACACTCTGATTCTGTACCCGTCTCCTAATGGGTGCATTTGTGTAAAGTTCTTCAGGTTCTCCTCCATTTGAATCTTGTCCTTGGAGGAGACGTGAATTTTGAAGGGATCGTCCTTTTCCCTCCATTTCTTTCTCTCTTCCTCCTCGCTATCCTTAAGCGGGGGCAGGTCGTCGCTGTCTCAGAGGTGGAGGCGGAGCTGTCGCTCTCCGTCTCCTCCTCATTTTGGGTCAAAGGAGCTGAGGCGGCCTCATCGCCGCCTTGGTCGCACTCTTCCAAAAAGGAATCTGCGGGAGTTGATGGGGCACGCGGAGGGGATCTCTCCAGAGCCGTCTGGTTTCTCTGACCAGACGTTTCTTCCTCAGGCGTTTGGCCGCCCGAGCCCTCGCTTCTGTAGTTTGGATCTGTGGTCGTCTGCATAGTCCGAGCCATTGTGTCCTGCACAGACACATAAATGGTCGGAATCCAAGGCAAAGGGTGGTCCCAACACCCCGAGATGGCACTCCCAGTCCTAGACTCAACCGTCCCTGGTGACCGCCTGGACTCTAACCTAGGTTGTGCCGTGTGTGTTGGTGATGCATCCATTTATTGCAAGAAAAATGTACAAGCGGTGAAACAAGAAAAAGAGCTGAGAGAGGCAAAGACGGTACCTTTAGATGTGATATCTGAAGATAGACGGGTCCGGCTGGGTTGATGAAGAACGAGCTTTCTTGCTTGCGCCTGACTCAAACGAATGACTTCTGCTCTCTCAAAGTTGACTCTCTTGAAATTTTTTGTAAACGTACAAAATGACGAGGGTGAACGGCTATATATAGAGGGTAAATACAGGGGCATTCCCGTAATTTACTCGGAAGGCGAACGGTTACTCCTTGATGGTAAAATTACCACCAATCGGAGCGTGACACGTGTCACAGATGCCACGTGGCGTGCCACGTCACATCTGTGAGGGGCAAATGTTTAGGGTAATTTTACCCCGCTACGTGGTCCAATCAGAGGATGACACATGTTAGCCTCAGGTTGGCCCAAAGTGGACCAATCCCTGCCTGACACGTGTCACTCCAAAAATTAGGGGGAAAAAAGGTGGCCTTCAGGCCCAAATCCCGAGAAAGCCGCAAAGCGGCGCAGCCCACCAATGATTAGGGTTCAGTGACCTAATCAGGGACACAAATCCCAAGGACCCTAAAAATAGGGAGATTTCCCTCTTTTTGAGGGCACATTTTTACCATTTATTACAAACAGTCCCTATGACAGAGACATGTGAGCTTGGAATCCGAGCAGATACCCACCTAGATTTTCGCATCTTTTTCTCTCCCTACAAGTTACTAACTTGTGCGTCGGAGGCGGAGCACCTCCCAACCGGTGTCTCCGTTTGTTTTGCAGGTACAGCTCACGCCGGATCAGTCTTCGTGTTGTAACTCTCCCGAGGGACAAAAACACCCAAAACAAGTCTATTTTTTTTTAATCAAGTACCTATGCAATATATATGATTTAGAATTTAAAAAAATATCAAAATTTTTCAATAAATATTATGATAGAGTACAAAATATATCCTAAACCTAGGATGAGAATATTCTCTATTACCTAAACCTAGGATGAGAATATTATATGGATATTCTCTATCATATTATATTATCTAACTAATATTACAACAAATTGTACAACTTACATGAGAAAATACAAGTTTATTTTCATGATAAACAAAAATGAAAATAACTTTTATCTAGTGGCATTTTTTTAAATAATCAACAACTTTTTTTTAAAATGTGGGGTCCACTACAGCTGATTTATTTACGGAAATATCATGCTAAATGAGATTTTATGTTTATTTATTTACAAAAATTTTACTAGATAAACGTTTTTTGTTTATCACATATAAATTGGGAATTCCTCCAATTTACATAGTCTAGGAGGAAAGAAAAATCATTAATTAATTATTTGCTCTTAGATAGTTAACACTCATAATTTTTTTATTTTAAAGAATTAACACGTGGAGATGTTGTAATTAAGGGCATGTTCTCTTCCGTTGAAATTCAGTTCAGTTCAGTTCAGTTCAGCTCAGTTCAGTTCAGCTCTTAATTTACGTCTGATGATATTGCTAATGATATAAATCTAAATTTCATTCTTTTAAGCTCTTATTACAACGACAACGACAACAACAACAACAACAACAACAACAACAACAACAACAACAACAACAATAATAATAATAATAATATTAACAATAATAATAATAATCAATAAGTAATAAATAATAATAATAATCATCATCAATAAATAATAATAATAATAATAATAATAACAATAATAATTGAAATAGTAATACTAACAATAATAATCAATAAATAATAATAATAATCATCAATAAATAATAATAATAATAATAATAATAACTATAATATTAATAATAATAATCAATAAATAATAATAATAATAATAATCAAAATTAATAATAATAATAATAATAATAATAATAATAATAATAATAATATGTACATTTGTATATACACATATGTATAGTAATAAATAATCAAAGATCACTAATCCGTAGTTAGAAATCACTAATTAATAAGTTCAGTTCAGTTCAGCTCAGTTCAGTTCAGTTTAGTTCAGTTCAGTTCAGATGAGTTCAGTCAATCGGAACAGGCCCTAAGTGGTTTTAAACTTTTAATACACTACTTCCGTTTCATATTATTTGTAACCATTAGACATTTTTCCTCTCTACTTTATATCAAATCGTTACAAATAACATAAAACAGAGGTAGTAGTTATAGTTACTGATAAAATATTACACATACATACATCTAATGCACAAGTAGAGAAAACATATAATAATTTATGTACTTTTTTGTGTTCAGGAAAAGCTGATCAATTTATTAGTGCTACTAAGAAGAAGCTATTAGATCAATCTAATGAAAATTTCACTTATATAAAGGAGAAGTGTGACTCTTTAGAGAAGACTACTCCAGACAAATGGGCAATATTGAAGGCTGGTCTACCACAATTGCTTGCTTCATTAAGCTTCAATGACATGAGCTACATACAAAATTCCGGACGTCCGTCTCACCAGAAAAAATCGTCAATATTTAGCATTTCCTTCAGACGAAAATCTTCTGAAAATATAGAGAGTAGTAAGTATTTTAATTTCATATCCATGCATGCATCTTTAAGTATTGTTACATGCTTAATTTTACTTATATATATATATATATATATATATATATATATATATATATATATATATATATATATATATATATATATATATATATATATATATATATATATTATGTATAGGGGAAGGCTCTCATGAGAAATTTTGTTATGTGAGAATTTTTCTTATGTGAGAACACTCTTTATGTTCTAAATTTTTACTCGCATGTTTCTAAATTTTAAATCCGATGTTCTAAACTTTTCCTTAGGTATTCTAAATTAAATCAAATGTTCTAATTTAGTACTCACATGTTCTAAACCATAAATTAGTTAAGTTCGATGTCATAAATTTTAAATAACTTGTTCCAAAATTTGAACTTGTATGTTCTAAATTTTAAAACGTGTGTTTTAAGATTTTTAATTATATGTTCCAGATTTTAAATTGTATGTTCTATTTTTTTACTCGTATGTTCTAAATTATTTACTCACACTTTCTATATTCTATATCAGTTTGTTCTAAATTTTTATTCACATGTTCATAATCTTAAATCATATGTCTAAATTTTACTCATATGTTTAAAATTTCATAAAGCAAATTTTATAAATTTTTAATCACTTGTTCTAATTCTTAAATCAGATGTTCTAAACATATTACTCACACAAATGTTCTAAATTATTACTCATATGTTCAAAATTTTAATTTGAGTCACATGTTCTAAATTTTAACTCGCATGTTCTAAATTTTAATTCACATGTTCTAAATTTTTACTCACATGTTCTAAATTTTAAATCAGTTCTCATATAAGTATGAATTCTCACATATGGACCTATTCTCACCGGATCCCTCCCCTATATATATATATATATATATATAGTGAGTCCGTCATGAGTTAAGTCTTGCTACCTTCAATTGCATTTTTTTTTTATATTTTTTTTATTTAACTCAAATTCGGTTTTATTATGTGTCAAGTTTTAAATTTTATATCTTTACTCAAAGTCTAAACTTGATATAGCTTATTGAGTCATCTTGAGGCATATTCGACCAACTCGTCTTATATAATAACACATTGAGTTAGAGTTGTGTCAACTTTAGTGCATCCTATATCTAACTAGATTATTATCATGTAATCATGCATGTTGCAATATATAAACCTTGTAATTCAAATTGAGTGTTTATATTGATTTATTATGCCTAGGTTCAATGGATCCATAACTTAAATTTTTAATGGAAGGACAACTATTCTCATTCTTAATATATATAGTGAAACATAAACATATATCTATCGATCTGAAATTTATATATAGCATCAACGTGTATAATCAGTTCATTATTAGTATTAATCACCTATTTGAAATTTATATATAGGTGGATTGAAGCACTATTTATATCGTCCAAGAGCAGGGCGTTTAATTCCATTTTTAGATAGACAAAAATCAATATCAGGACGTTGGCAGGAAGTTTCACCTTCGAAATTCAATTTGCGTGGCAAGACATTCTTTAAGTATGTAATCTTTCTATCCCATATTAGTTACTTCCACTACTAGAATCAGAATCAAATTGAAATTTTCAACGGATTTTAATTCTGTCGGATATTTTTGACGGAATTTCCGTCAAAATATAAATCCGTCGGAAAATATCTACTTTTCGACGGATGGATTTTCATTTATTACAAATTATTTTTTTTAAACACTTACATATTTTAAAAACCAATCTGATCTCATGATTGTTTAATACATTCATGTTTTCAACAAGTAGGGTATTACAATGACACAATCAATCTAAAATTATCTTAAATGTGTGTTTATTTTTTGAAAACTTATTCTGGTGGAACTTATAGTTAAAGATTCCCTATCTTATAAGTATGTTACATCATAATTTATGTAAACTTTTTTTTCTTTTTTTTTTTTTTTTTTTTTGACGAAATGTAAATTTTTTTTTTTTTTTGACGGAACGAAATGTAAACTCATATTATCATAACTTAACTTATTTTCTTGTCAAAAAAAAACCTTAACTTATTTGAACATGTAAGTCAAAGCATGTCAAACATAATATGCAAATTAAAGATAGTCGATCAAAAATTACAATGCTAATTAATGTTACAAGTTAATAATTTTATTCCTATTATTATGTAGAGACAAGAAGAAGTATCCTGCGCCAGATATTTGCCCTTATGAGCCATTTGGTGTAGATTTGTTTATTTGTCAAAGAAAGGTTAATCACATTGCTCAACACCTTGAACTTCCCTGTACCGGGATGGATGAGAAGGTTCCTCCAATTCTCATTGTAAATATTCAGGTAATTTTACTACCTCTGTTTCACATTTCGATAATGCTTTGCCATCTCATCAAAAAAATAAAATAATAACGCTTTACCAAATATTTGTCTATAGAATGTAGAACTGTAAGCATTAATGTCTCTAAAAATAAAAACTATAAATTGTTGTCAATATATAAATACCTATCGAGAGAAATAAACTAAATCTACTAATACCCCACATAAAACTGCATACATTTTCTCTTACATATAAATCACAAAGCATGGTTTAAGGGTATGTTCTCATTGACTGTTCTGAAATGAGCTGAACTGAACTGGACTGGACTTATTGGAACTGAATTGAATTGAACTGAACCGAACTGAACTAAACCGAACTGAACTGAAATGAATATTTTATAAGAGAAGGAAATTAGGAGTTGAACTGAACTGAACTTATTAGAGCTGAAGTGAACTGAACTAAAAATAATCGTATAAGAATAGGCCCTAAGTGTAGTTTATGAAAATCCACACATTTCAAAATCTATTAACATCTTGAAATGAAGGTAAGTGATTTTAATAGGGTATGCATATGCCTAGCTTGTTTCCATTTGATATAACTTTAAATTTCGTTAAAGAATATACTAGTTTTGTGTCCGTGCGATACCCCGGTTGTTTATTGAATTTTAAGATAAATTTTTAATCTATATGTCAAATTTTAAAATATATCGTTGATACAAAATTAGTTAGAAATTGATGTGTTTTTGTGACAATTTAAACTATGTAGTAGACATGTAATGATTAATAATAATAATAATATTGGTGAAAAATATTTCTTGACCCGTAACCTGAAATATAAAATTATATTAAATTATGAAGTATATATTATTTAAATTGATTAGAATATATTATAAATAATTGATGCGGTGCATTTTGAACTAATTCCTTCTCTCTAAAAAAATATTATGATACAAAAAATAAATTTATATGATAATTTATGAGAGTTATAATCTAATTACTTTTTGAATAAAATAATAATTCAATTTGTACATATGAAATATTGGTACTTTATCGAAAATAAAACTCTAAATTAACAATTTTATCCTAAAATTCTATCGAAATTTGATTGAAAATAGAATTATAAACTAATTTTTTTATCCTACAAATTAAATTTTATATAACTCTATCCTACGTGGCGTCACACTTGGCGAAAAGTTGAAACGCCAAGTGTTGCTGTCTCGTCGCCTGGCTAAAAGTTTAGCATTATATATTAGTTATATGATTTGGAAGTTTTATATAGCTAATTCTTAATACTCATGCAAAAAATTTTATGCACTTGTGTTTTCTTGTAATAGGTCCCAACTTATCCAACAACCATGTTTGGCGGTGATAGTGATGGGGAAGGAATGAGCCTTGTTTTGTATTTCAAACTATCTGAAAGCTTTGAGAAGAATGTCTCCCCTCACTTCCAAGATTGTGTCAAGGTACAAATAATATTTTTATTACTTTTACCTTTAAAGAGAAAAACCATTTATAATGATAAACCAACAAATAAATTTAGATTCACAAAACTATTAATTTCTCATAATTAATTAATTACACAAGTGATTGTTCACGGCCATTTCTTTTTTAAATAGTTCATCTAAAATTTATTAATCTACTTATAAAAAAAATAAAAAACAATGTCCTCTCCCAAGTTAGTGCTAGCTCATCCCGGTTGAACAATTTTTTGCACTTGTTATCATTATTGTCCATTATCATTTTTGATGAATGGTAATTGTAATTTATGAACACAAATAGAAATTAGGGGGAATAAAAGTAATTGCATAGATAGGTTTAGTAGGTTTAATAAGTTATACATATTGCTTTCCTTTCTACTATATATAAATATATATATATATATATATATATATATATATATATATATATACATATATATATATATATATATACATATATATATATATATATATATATATATATATATATATATATATATATATACATGGATTGGATCAATTTATATACGAAACTATGAAATGAAAACTTAACACTACATGTTGTGTGAGTAATTGAATATATATATCTAAACTTGTTTTCTGACAGAGAATGGTTGATGATGAAATGGAGAAAGTAAAAGGGTTTTCTAAAGAAACTTTACTTCCTTATAGAGAAAGGCTCAAAATCATAGCAGGCTTGGTTAATCCTGAAGATCTCAATTTGAGCTCTACTGAAAAGAAGCTTGTACAATCTTACAATGAAAAGCCTGTTCTTTCACGCCCCCAACATAATTTTTACAAGGTATGTAAAATTATTACTTCTTTCGTCCCTACATAAATCTCTATCTCTTTATTATATGAGTAATAAATACTCGAAAGAGGCTTTATATTAAGGGATGAAGGAAATATCTTCTAAGACGGATTTAAATTAGGATAAGTCTCAACCTAGCTACAATTTTTTTATTATTATTATTTATGAGATTTTAAAATAAATCATGTTACTCTTCCACAAACAAACATATAAAAAAAAGTGAAAAAATATTCTATTTTTATGTTCAACATTTGCCAAAATTTGTATCTCCGCATTTTTAATATACGCATGTCAAAACATATGACAAAATCATGCTAAAAGTTCGAAAGTTAAAAGAAGAGTTCATATAAATAAAGTGAATAAAAGTTTTTAATGATTGTAGACCATCGTAAAATAACAGTTCTATTGAGTATTGATCCATTGTCTTTCAGGGTAAGAATTACTTTGAGATAGACTTGGATGTTCATCGCTTCAGTTACATATCAAGGAAAGGGCTTGAAGCTTTTCGAGATAGATTGAAAAATGGCATAATTGATCTTGGTTTGACCATTCAGGTACTTTCATATAATGCTTATACCTTTTATTTAATCTTATCATATCATATTTGCGGAAAAAAAAAAAAAAAAAAAACTTAACCTCTTAGCCGAGTCATTCTTCAAGTAGCTTAGTTTAAAAAAATATAACAAGAATTAAAAATACAGCCCATCTTGTGTGTGGCCACTTAAAAAAGAACAAAGTAACTTCTATCAAATTGATTAAATAACTCCTATAAAACTGACTACTCCTATAACACTTACCGAGTAACCCCTATAACAATGACGAAATAGCCCTTATTACGCTAACGAAGTAACCCCTATAATGAATGACCACATATAAGAATTTGTGTTAAAGATATGCAATTGCTAATTTACATCTATAACAAATTTTGATTAACAAATATATCTTTTGACCAGGCACAAAAACCAGAGGAGCTACCAGAGCAAATGCTTTGTTGTTTACGATTAAACAAGATTGACTTAGTTGATCATGGCCAAATACCTGTTCTTATGCCAGTGGATGATAAAAAAAGTTCATCAAGACATCGAAGCTCTCTATCAACAATATCATATTTATGAAGAACATCAAATTCTTCTACTAATATTCTTTAATTTGTCCCAAATTTAAGTACATATATTTTTTTTTCTTATGTCATATGTTTAATGATTTTTTAATGATTGGCCTTGATTAGGGGATTTTTCCCCACCAATCACCATCTGGCAAGTGGACCAATCAGGTTCCGCCATGTGTCCGTCACATGGGCCAATAGGAGTCTGCCACGTGTCAAGCAATGATCCGTCCACTATGGACCAATTACGACACGACACGTGTCCTTCCCATGACACCTGGGATAACCGGTCACCTAGGCCCAACTTCCGAGGGAAGCCCAATCAGCCCAAGGTTAACTTAAACCTAGATTGGCACGTTTCCCGAGGTTATAAATACCTCCCTTAATCCTCATTAAGGGAAAAAACACGCTAAAAACGCAGATTACACACATTAAACACTCTCACCTAGAGAGACCCAATCACTTTAATTTCCGCATTAATTACTCCTTAATCAAGTACTAACTTGACCGTCGGAGGCGGATCTCCAATCATCCGGAGCATCCGTTTGTTTTGCAGGTACAGGCGTCCGGTTCCAGTCTCGGAATTGTAACTCTCCCGCAGGACATCAGAAAACCCCGAAACATCTTGGCGCCGTCTGTGGGGAGATGGCATCCACGTTTGTACCGGCTCCTGAAGAGAGACGTCCCCTGGACGACCCTCTAGTTCAGTCGGACCACGATACTGAGAATGAATTTGAAGTTGAAGCTCACACAGCTTCAGACGGGACCCTAAGGGCCCGACGTACCCGTCATACCGAAAGGAGGGAACGGGATCATCTTCAAACTGGAAGCGAGCCAGCAGGCGCACCGCCTGTTCGGCAACAGCCGACTGATGGGTCTGCTCCCATCACAAGGAGTGAACTCATGACCTTCATGAGGGACTTCAAGGGAGAAATTCAAGAGTTGATCAACAAGAAGCCGCCTGCTCTGGACAAGGAGCAGTCGGCTAAGAAACCCTCCACTTCACAGAAGAGGAAGCCAGTTCAAGGGCGAGAGGCGACTCCTCATCCTAAATCTAGGAAGCGGGAGCCACCTGCCCTTGATTTCACAAAATACCGTTTTCCTACTCCAGGAAATAGGAAACATGTTCGTCATATTCAGGCGGACGGGTCGAGGAAAACATACACAGACGCTCGGCTACTGCTAGAGCAGAAGAAGAGTGACCGATTGTCAGAGTCGGCCTCTACTTCAAACCTCCAAGACAGTCTGCGAAATACCTCGATGAGGCATACTCAGTCGTATCATGAGAGTCAGTCAGGCGGCACCTCCCGTCAGTCCGGCTTTCATAGCGACCAGGCGGTACCAAACTTACCGTTTGTACCGTAACAACAGTATTTTTTTCAGCCACCTCCGTTTGGTGGACATGCAGCAAAAAATGTCCAACCTATGGACTGGCAGCTACGGTTGCTTAGACTTGGTGAACAGCCGTCGGCCTTCTCCAAGGAAATTACTGAAGTCGCTCAGCCGGCCAAAGTGAAAAATGTATTAGTAGGCGCCTATGACGGCACTACTAACCCAGAAGACCATCTGATGGCATTCACCAACCTAATGTACCTTCAAGGGTTGGATGATCCCACTTGGTGCAAGTGTTTCCCAGCGACTCTCAAAGGAATCGCACAACAATGGTTCGGCAACCTGCCGACTGGTTGTGTAAATAGCTTCAAGACGCTTGCTTACTTATTCACCTCCAACTTCGCCATGAACATCCCTGCGAAGAAGACGACCCTTGATTTAGGAACAATTCAGCAGGGCGAGAAGGAGGGGCTTCGTTCTTACATCAGGCGGTTTAACCTGATGAGAATACAGATTCAAGGGTTACCGGATGAAGTAGCCTATACTGACTTTTTCAGAGGTCTCAAAGACGGGTCGACCTTCAAATTTGATTTGGTCCGAAAGAGGGTGGCGACTCTTCAAGAGGCCTTGATTGAAGCGGAAGCCTATATACAGGCGACTGATCTTTGTAGTACGGTAAAACAGTCAGACGGGAGAAGGTCCGACAAAAGAGAAGGACGACAGAAACAATCGTCAAACAAAGACGAGAAGAGAAAAGAGGTCTGGGCGGCTGATTCCTCTTAACAGCCGGCCCAGAAAAAGAAAAAAGAATTCAAACCATACTCCCCAAAGTATGTGTTTAACAAGGATAGCCAATTTATCCTAAAGGAAATCAAGGGACGGATCTCAATTGAGAAGCCGGTCCCCATGAAGGGTTCTGCAAACAATCGGAACCAAGAAAAATTATGTGATTATCATGAAGATGTTGGTCATCACACCAATGACTGCATCAGTCTCATGCGGTATCTGGACCGCCTGGCTGAGCAAGGTGATCTTGACACTTATGTCAAGAAATCTACGGGGAACACTTCCTCAAAAAAGCAGTTGACCAAAAAGAATCAACAGGCCGACAGCTCCGATACAGATGATGCAGTCGTCTACACCATTGCAGGCGGCTTCTCAGGAGGCGGCCCCACTATTAGGGGCAACAAAGACAATATCAGACGGTTAGATGTAAATTCCGTTCACCAAGAACGGCCCTCCAAATATTCATTTCCTGAGATTGTCATCACTGAAGAAGATCTAGGAGGGGTAAGAGGGCCGCATGACGACCCTATCGTTATTGAATGTAAAGTGGCCAACCAGAGAGTTGGCCGAATCCTCATAGATACCGGAATCTCCTCAGATCTCATCAGTAGCAAATGTCTGTCGAAACTAAAATATCAGACTGATTGCATACATCTGGCATCCCACCCTTTAGTAGGGTTTGGAGGAGGAGTCGTCCACCCAGTGGGACGAGTGGATTTACCCATCCGCCTGGGCGAAAAAGGGGAAGGACGACACATGGTAGTCCGGTTCCTGGTAGTAGAAGAACTCTCGGCCTACAACATGATTCTGGGACGACCAACCCTAAATAATTCCAAGGCTGTTATAATCCCATCTCTTATGTTGCTCAAGTTTGAGAGGGATAATGGAACAGTCGGGTCCCTAAGGGGAGATCAGAAGATGGCCCGAGAGTGCTATCTCTCGGATGTCAAGCCCACTGTTTTGGCCACTGGGTCAGGTGGTGGAAAAACAGACCTTGACAATGTCAAGGAGAGTGCGCCTGTTCAAGAAGCAGGCGGCAAGAAGAGAAAGGCATCCCAGACAGGGGCCGCAAGAAAAGACAGAAAATAGCAATCATTGGCAGAGGAGCGGTCGGATGAATTCCGCCCTCAGCCGGCTGGTGAGCATACGGACCTGATCTTAGACGACTCGCGTCCTGACCGAACAGTCAAAGTTGGGACGACTGCTCTGAGAGTCCTGGGTGACGACTTTTACAAACTATTGAAAGAATACAAGGACATCTTTGCATTCGAAGTCCACGAAATGCCAGGCATTAGTCCTGACCTGGCGGTACATAAACTGGCTGTGGATCCGAAAAAGAAGCCGGTAAGGCAGAAAAAGAGGAACCATGGCGAAGAAAGAAGTCAGGCGGCAGCCGCCGAAGTTAAAAAATTACTTGATGCAGGGTTCATTCGGCAATGTTACTTCCCAGACTGGGTTGCAAATGTGGTGCTTGTTAAAAAGCCGAATGGCACCTGGCGAATGTGTGTAGACTACACAGACTTAAACAAGGCGTGCCCCAAAGACAGTTACCCTCTGCCTAAAATTGATAACCTGGTCGACTCAACAGCCGACCATGCTTTGATGAGCTTTATAGACGCCTACTCTGGTTTCCATCAAATTCCTTTATGGAAGAAAGATCAGGAGAAGAGCCTTCGTCACTGATCAGGGGTTATACTGTTACACGGTCATGCCGTTTGGTCTTAAGAATGCCCCGGCCACTTTCCAGCGAATGATAAACACTATGTTCTTTGATCAAATTGGGAGAAATGTCGAGGCATATATTGATGATATGATTGTCAAGTCTAAACTTCAGAAAGATCATCTGTCGGACCTCCGAGAAACTTTCGCCACACTCAGGCGGCATCATGTCATGCTCAATCCCAATAAATGTGTCTTTGGAGTTGAGTCTGGGAAATTTCTCGGATTCCTTATCAATCAGAGAGGAATAGAGGCGAACCCTGAGAAGGTGCAGGCGGTCATTGACATGCAGTCGCCTCGTACCATCCGAGAGGTTAAGAAGTTAACAGGTTGTCTGGCGGCCTTGGGAAGATTTCTAAGCCGATTAGGCGACAAATGCCTATACTTTTTCCAGGCAATTAAGAAAAAGGCAAGGTTTGAATGGGGGCCGGATGCTGAGGCGGCCTTCCAGAAATTGAAAGTTCACTTGCATTCCTTGCCGAGGCTGGTCAGCCCTTTGCCCAAAGAAGTACTCTACATGTACCTAGCCGTCTCTGATCATGCGTTAAGCGCTGTTCTCCTTGCTGAAAGAGACGGCTGTCAGCTCCCGGTCTACTTTGTCAGTCATGTACTGAAAAATGCCAAGTTGAGGTATCCCTTAGTGGAGAAATTTGGTCTTGCACTCTTCATGGCTGTTAAAAAATTGAAGCCCTACTTTTTGGCACATGCAGTCGTCGTGTATACAGACCAACCTATCAAGCGGCCACTAACCATCATGGAGTCGTCAGGACGAATGATCAAATGGGCCATAGAAATACAGAGCCTCGAAGTTACTTTCGAGCCTAGAAAAGCAGTGAAGGGGCAAGCCTTTGTTGACTTTATTGTTGAGATGACTCGTCCTCCTGACTCTCAAGTTACAGACCAAGTCTGGAAGGTATATGTGGACGGAAGTTCTACTTCAAATGGTTGTGGAGCAGGCGTCATATGTCAGTCGCCAGAGGGCGACATGTACGAGTATGCTCTACGCTTCAGTTTTCAGGCCTCAAACAATGAGGCAGAATATGAAGCTTTACTAGCCGGAATCCGCATGTGCAAGGCGGCAGGAGCAAGAAAAATAGACGCCTGTTCCGATTCACAATTGATAGTGAGTCAGTACAATGGCGAATACGAAGCAACCCATCCGGCCATGATCAA